TCTGAAACAGAGAGATGTCTCACCAGGTAGCAGACGAAGCTGAGATAGGCGATGGAGAGGAGGGCAGAGAAGACGTAGAGGACGGTGCTGTTGAGGGCCGTCACATACACCACCACAAAGTACATGTTGATGGCACACACCACCAGGATGAGCAGACCCCCGCCGATCTTCCACACTCTGCAAACACAACACCCAACCGTCATCCACCGCTGATCACAGCTCATGAGCGCTCAACAGAATCGGTGAATACAGCAGAGACCGACAGCGTTCACACATCCACACCGCAGCACCACCTACTGGACGCTTATCCATCAGCTACAGACGGATTCTGAAGATTGTTTTAGTAGCATGTAAGAAAGCAGTTACTAAATGTTAGCTCATGAGAAGCCTCTCCGATGCGGTCTGATGCAAACAGAATACGGGTTTTTCATCATCTCACGTCATGAGCAACGCATGGGCATTTATTTGGGTTATTTTAACATTATTAATTTAGATTTTACTTAAAGCAGCCTACACCATACAGACAGTTAAACAAACATTCAAGCATTTCAGACTTTTTTGACACAAAATGCAACAGAAATATCAACCAGAAATATATTTAACATTGGATATGTGTCCTACTTATGTACCAGTACACTCACATAAAGTGATATATACAAAATCCCAAATTATTGTTTACATCATCAAAAAAAAATGCACATTATATTATCGACCAGCTCTAATCTGTTAAATATAACTATAAGGCATGAAGATATTTATAATAAAGCTTGGCTGCCTATGCAGTAGAAAGGTGAAACGGTGAAATCAGTGCCACCAGACTACAGGAAAAACACCCATAATGCACCGGGCATGTTGCCGTCCAATGCCACTCCCAGTCTGCTCCCACTGGATAGGCCTGACCCGAGTCAAATCGTTTAGTGGGAGCGAGGGTTTAGGTTTAAGACCTTTAGGTTTCTGTGTGTAGACGATATGTCAATAGTTTTTCTCCACTACTGACCTACCTTTGATTTGGCACAAAATGTTATACAGTAAATTCCATTTCTCCGACTGGATTCCATGATTCTGTCTGCATCACAGAAATCATTCGGCCTTAAGTAAAGTATCCAGAGCACCGCAGACAGTGGCTAAAGAATCACTAATGAAAGTATTGTGAAGAGCGCAGATACACATACACTTGACTTGG